CCCTGCAGCCTGGCCAGTGGCACTGGCAAAAGCAGCCCCCGACAGAGACCCTGCAGCCTGGGCTCAGCAGCTGAGCAGGACGAGTTCCTGCGGCTGAATTCCGCTCATCCTGACCTATCCCTACACACGGCACTCAAAAAGTGACTTGGCCAAAACCCTGCAACTGCGGCTTTTCCACACAAAAACCGAACACTCTTGTGTGACCGGACTGTTCTGTTCTTTTACTTTCAATCCTCATCAGCTGCTTGTAGGAGCTATCCTGGGCTTTCTCAAAGAGCATCTTGTGTGTTGAAATCCTATAGATCTGCAGATGCTCTCTCAGTTCTCTCTTTCTTGCACTTTTGGTTGGATGGCATTCTACTTCTACTCTCTCAAAAGCAGAGGAACCACATCTTGAAAAATTTCCCTCCAAAAAACCCAAATTCACCAAGAAAGCCCCAAACACTAAACTGAGGAGAGACAAATTGCTGGGACACATTAATTGCTGAGTGCAAGGACAATGCAAAGGAGCTCATTAGACCCACTGGGTCAATGCCAGTGCACAGAAATCCCCATCGGGACAGCATTGGTCTGACACGGCTGAATAGAAGAGATGAACAAGGGACATTGATCATCTTTCTTTATAGCAAGATTCCTCAGGAGCAATACTGGCATTTGCCTGTCTTGGTCCTTACATGATGAGCTTGAATGATCCAGGGAGCCAAGAGGATTTTCGGTTTGGTGGATAATTGAAGTTGGAAGTAACTTTTAGCTGTCATTCGATCCAATCAGCTGCTTAACTCAGGGACAAATGTGAGATGAATGAAGTTTGCTGGTGACTTATGCAGTCAGGTCTTGAAAACCCTTGTGTATGTAGACTACCGTACTTCTCTAGGTGGTGTGATTTATAATTTACTGACATCATCATGAAAGTTTTTCTCACTATGTCTGTTGAAACCTCTCTTGGTTTATGTCTCTCACATTTTCCTCCTCTCACAATATGCACTCAGAAAACTTTAGCATCCTCTTCTCAGTAACTTGCTTATAAGTATTGGAAAGCTGCTGTTAGGTCCCACCAAAACATTTCCTCCCAGATGAACAAGCCCTATTCCCCAGCTTCTCCTCCCAGGGCAAGTTCTGCAGTCCCCTGTCCTTCTCCGTGGCCCTGCACTGAACTCTCTCAGTTTACCAACCTCTTTTCATGCTACATCACCTAAAACTGGATGCAGACTTCTAAATGCTGCCAAAGCAGCAATAAGCCCC